TGCACTGCATTTTTTGCAGTATCCCGTTAAATGACAGAGAATATTTTTTATATTTTGCAAATATTTAAGATATTATTCAACAGAAATAAAAGTAAAATCCGCCTAAAAGGCTATGTAATGTTAGTGCAGTACTATTTGCAATGGATGCTAGATAATTTCCCGACAGATTGCTGTTTTCCAAATCGTCTCTTAGATATTCTATAAATCGTATATTTAACACCAAGAGAAAAAAATCCACTCACTATTTTCCAATTTAATTGATCTAGCAAGTTTAAGCAAAAAAGAAAACACGAATGCTTAAAATATCCAAAATAAATCATCCTATATCCACAATGAATTCCCACTGACCTTTTAGAATAATTTGGAAACAACTATTACAACAAAAAAAAATCAAATGTTAAAATAATACATTAGACTATCAATAATGTAATAGCAACAGACCAACAAGAAAGAACCATCGGACCTGTTGCATAAATAAATAATCAAGTTAAATGAATTATAAATGGAACGAAATTATGTTTAAAACCATTTCTTATGGCAACAGAAACAAAGAAAAGCATTGCTTCAATGTCCACTTATATTTACATATGCTCTATCCTATAGAACAATTTAAAAATACATTTCCTCACTATGTTTGAATATATATAACTATATATACTATATATATGAAGAAAATAAATGGATTTATGATCCGAAAGTATGAAGCAAAATATAAGAAAAAAAACGAATATATATATATATATATATATATATATATATATATTCGATTTTGATATATATAGATTTTAAAAAAATTTTCATAATAAAAATCAAACGGAAAAATTATGCGACATAATATCTATCTCAACAAGAAAAACTAGACCTGGCTTCTTTAATATTTCCCCTTTTCTAGCAAGATTAATGCTCGACAAACGTACATATAAGCTTCAGATCAAAATAAAATTCTTTTCGTTTTTCATTCAAAATACTCAAATTTTAGGAATACGTTTTCACAACATCGCCCACGTGACGACGACGTGATCATATTTAAACGGAACGCTGATCTTATAAATGATTTCAGGTATCTGTTTGGATTGGTATTTCTTTTATGTCCATCGTCTTTTTCATGTTGAACTGTATATGGTCTATGTTAATTATGCTTTATGAATACGTCCTGAAGATGGTCTATTAGACCGAAACGTCTGACATTGACATTAAACATTAAAACAGCATAATCGCATATTAGGATTTTTTTTTTTTCAGTATATTTTTCTATATCCATATATATATATATATATATATATATATATATATATATATATATATATATATATATATATATATGGAATTTCGTGCGTAAAGAACGAAATATATAAATATATAAATTAAATTATTTTAAAGAAGAGGAAGAGAGAAACAATATAACAAACAATTTTGTGTAAATAAATATAAGAACAATGAATAGGGGAAATATTGCTAAGGGCTTTAAAACATAGGAAAGTATGGAGAGCTATGATCGCCAATATCCTAAAGTGATATATACAAACTTTGAAAGAGAAATTTTATAGATTTTTTATTACGAATAGCATACATTAAAGAATTTTTTCTTATTTCGTTTTTTCATCTAATGTAATGTCTTACATAAATATGCTGTCAAAAAGAGTAACAAATATGAAACATTAAAATTCAATGAACATTTTGAAATATAAAAATAATAAAAACACGAAAACTTTTCCAAGTCATAAAGTTACAAAATGTATTTAAAAAAATGGCGGAATGAAATACCACGTTCTGAATATATAACGTTGAAAAAAATATAATTGAATCAGTTACTTGGTCTGCTGCTAGGAAAGTTGGCAGTTAATCTAGTCTACGAATCGTCCTTACTTTGAATATTGCTTCAAGATCTGGTCAGGCGCTTCTGGTATATATTTCTAGATTCTTGAAAAATAATCAAAGAATCTGCAATGCTATTCGTCTTCAACTGACATCTAAGCATTAGTCACTTTCCAACCGCCGTAACGTAGCTTAACTCTGCCATTTCTACGAAAAATTTCATGGTATTTATTTGTATGAATTTTACTTTATGCTACCTGGATATCATGAATTTAATTGTATTACTAGATTGGAGATAAGGTTTCATCATTTTACAGTTGATATGACCAGATTCAACCATAAGTTCTAGGCTAACAGCTTCCATTAAAATTCTACCTTGTGAAAATCTTTCGAATTCTTGATTCCCAGTCGAATATGATCTTCAGTGCAATGTCAAACGTTATCTCCTCACTTCTTAATTCTTGTTCTTTTATTGATCTCCCCCTCCCTTAATAGTGATTTTTCTCATATTCTCTAATATACAGTAAGCCCCTTTCTTTTGGTGGTGGGGGGGCCAATGATTAAAAAAATTCATTGTCTCCACAAGTACATATTAAAGAAAATAAAAATATTCAATTTTCCTATTAAAATTGAAATCACTCCTTTTTTAAGCGTTGAAAGATATTTTTTAAAATTATATATAAACCTTGTTTTATTTTCCCGTTTTTAAACTAAAATTCGCCTGTCAAATATTTTACATTTATTTGTATTTCTTCTTTAAATTTTTATTTATATTCATTTTTTGTATGTGTTATACAAGTAAAAATTTCTTTTTGGCATTATATTCTGAAAAATGGATAAAAATATTCAAAATTGATGGGTTTAATTATAATTTAGATGTTGAATTGAATAAATACCAATAAGCTGCTTCTTCTCACTTATGCATACAAACAAACAAATATATGTATATATATCGTTTGCATACAGTGCTGTATGACAGCTCCTCGGTGCGACTAGACATCTGTATGCCTTCACCCGGATTGAAACCCAATCGATTTGCTCACAGTCAAAGTTTCTACCACTGACCTATCTTCATTCGACAGAGAAAAAGGCTAAATCTAGCGTATTTTTTACGAATGTAAATAAACAAAAAACAGCCAAGTGCTCCAATTCATTTTACAGAAGAAATTGCATTAAGGCAGATAATAGCGTTTATTCATTTAGCCTACCACTCAACGGTGCTTAAATGAAATATATTTTCAAAGCTAAATTTTATGTATATATATATATATATATATATATATATATATATATATATATATATATATATATATAAATATATATATATAGATTAGACAGAATTAAAAAGACACCATCCATTTTGAATATTTTTATCTAAAAATCAGTATCTAATGAAACGTATAATAAAAAATTTTTTTAATAGTAATAAAGAACAAAGAAGGAATATAAAACTCAATTTTCAGAACAATAGGAGTTAAATGCAAGAAATTATATTGAGAATAATTATGTAAATTAGAAAAGAAAATTCATAGTAAAGTAAAAAAAATTAGAAAAAGAAAATTATATTTCTTCTTCGTGTTTATTAATATAAAAAAAACTGGCATTGATTTTTAGTATTAGATTGTGAGAAAAAACATTCAAAATTGATGCGTGTATGAATAATTTCATCGTTGACTGTATGTAAGATAGATTTTGGAGAGAAAAATTGTCTTGTTAGATATTTAATAAATTTGTTACTATTGAGGATGAATTTTAAGCAAAATATTTTCAAATAACAAAAATATTTAAAATTATTTAGATGTTTATTAAAAGCATAATTATTTATATATATCTATCTCAAAGTGGAATACATTTTTCAGCGATGAATGGACATTAATTACATGTAATTTAAAATATGCAAAATTATAACGTAACATGTTGATTTTATCTCTGTCTATAAAAGGCAGGATGTGTGTGTGTGTGTGTGTAACGAATGCACGGCCGCAATTTTCGACGGATTTATACCAAAATGTACATGCACGTACTCCAAGTTAGCTGAAAGGCCAAGACAGACTTTGCATTTCCCAACTCTCATCGATAGTGGAAATAATCGATTTTTTCATGGTTCTACAAACATTTTTCATATTTCTTTGCGGTCATTTTTTTATTTCATGTGATATGAGAGCCAACATTGACATACACGAATATTAACTAGGATGCAAATAAATCGATAGCTGCATTCCTCACAAGTGGGAAAAAATTAATTCTGCATGGCACTTTACTCCAATTGGCTCATTCGCTTGCTTAAATTCAACGTTGATTCTGATTCCGCAGAACTGGGTTGGGTGTGAAAAAAGTATTTGTTGTTAACATTCTTTTTTTTGACAGTTTTTCCAGTTACGAGTCCTTTTTTTCAAGCTGATCGTTTTGTGTTCATTTTGTTTAGTTCTTTTTTTCGTAACAGATTTAATGTTTAGTATAGAGCTTAGAAAAAAATTCGCAGTGAAAGATAGGCAAGAAGTGAGGCATGTAGCAACATCAGTAACGGCAAAGAGCACTTTTTAAAAGGCAGGGAAGGGCAAAAATTATTTTAAGTCAAGTGATAGCGATTGCTGTAAAAGAGTCGTACGATTTTTGAATCAAGCACAAGAACGCCAGGCCATGCTGTTGGTAGGAAATAATTTTCCTGGTAACTGAAGTTCGCTTTTAAATATATATGGTTTCCGCCTTGTTTTTTTTTTTTTTTTTTTTTTTTTTTTTAGTATAGTACAATTTTGTTCAAGCTCAAATCAAAAATACTTTTAAGAGGGAATATTTTTAAAAAAAAATTTTTTGCTGGTTGCATAAAATCTTCCGTCGGTCAAGATTCAGACTACGAGTTGTAACTTACTAACCCATATATTTTGCAGCTTTCTGTATGTTCTAATATTCCTGAAAATTAAATGAACATTTTTTTTCTGAAACTTCTGTCGACGTACCCCCGTTGGCCACTTAATGATGGTACCCGTGAACAAATGCAATTTTATGCAAATTTATAATCCGCCAATGATATGGCAGTAATTTAATGGTTATGACTTTTAAACAATGTCTTGGCAACGTACTTTCATGCGTTAATATGGGAAAGAAAGAAATTTAAAGAAAGAAATCGCACCCTGAATCTTGAAAGAAAGAAAGCGTCGTTCCAAAAAAAAGATTTTAAAGGAAATTCAAAAGAGAAAAATTCCTAGGTTCTGAAAAGAATGCTTAGAAAAATAAGAAAAAAAAAATCTAATGGCCGGCAATTCTTTTGGCGAAATAGATAAAGAGACCAAGAGAGTGAGAGTAAATGAGAAAAAGAAAGAGAAAGAACTGGGAGAGATAGTAAGGTACAGACATTACTCAAAAAAGGGAAACATTTAGAGCGATTTTGAGAAAAAGCAAATGAGAGTGAAAGAGAGAAACAGACCAAGAGAAAGAATGAAAGCGAGAGAGAAAAAGAGAGCGATAGGAAGAAGGAGAGAGAGAGAGAGAGAGGCAAAAAGGAGCAAGAGAGAGGATGAGTGAGAGAGAGAAAAAGGGAGCAAGAAAGAGAAAAAGAGAGCAAGAGAGAAAATGCGAGAGAGAAAAAAGAGCAAGAAAGAAAATGAGAGATTCGGAATATGAAAAGAGAGAGATTACTAGAAATATGGGAAAGACAAAAAAATCACGAGAAAAAGAGAGAGAGAAAAAAGAAAAGAGAGAAATAAAAGAGAGGAGAGAAAAAGAAACAAACTGAGAGAGAAAAACGAAAATGAGCAAGACAGAGAAAAAAAGAAAACGATAGATATAATATTTTCTAGTTTGAGAGAGCGAAAAAGAGAGCAAGAGAGAGCGAAAAAGAGCAAGAAAGAGGATGAGAAAGAAAAAAAGATAGAAAGAAAGAGAATGAGAGAGAAAAGAGATAGCGAAGAATGAGAAAGTAAAAAGAGAGCAAGGAAGAGAATGAGAAAGAGAGAAAAAGAGCGCAAAAGAGAGAATGAGAGAGAGAAAGAAAAAAGAGAGAGAATGAAAGAGAAAAAGACAACAAGAGAGAGAGAATGAGAGCACTGAGAGAATGTGACTGAAGCAAGCAGCGAGAGAATGAGAAAGAGAATAAAGAGAACAATGAAAGAATGAGAAAGAAGAAAAAGGGCAATGAGAGAGAGAGAGATAGAATAAAGAGAGCAATGAGAGAGAAGAAAGAGGACAATTAGAGAGTGAGAGAGAATAAAGAGGACAATGAGAGAGAGAGAGAGAATAAAGAGAGCAATGAGAGAGAAGAAAGAGGACAATTAGAGAGTGAGAGAGAAGAAAGAGGACAATGAGAGAGAGAGAGAGAATAAAGAGAGCAATGAGAGAGAAGAAAGAGGACAATTAAAGAGTTTTTTAATAAAGAGAGCAAGGAGAGAATGAAAGATAATAAAGAGAACAATGAGAGAATGAGAGAGAAGAAAGAGGGCAATGAAAGAATGAGAGAGAATAAAGGGGGCAATGAGAGAATGAGAGAGAATAAAGGGGGTAATGAGAGAATGAAAGAGAATAAAGAGGGCAATGAGAGAATGAGAGAGAATAAAGAGGGCAACGAGAGAGTGAGAGAGAATAAAGAGGGCAATGAGAGAATGAGAGAGAAGAAAGAGGACAATGACAGAGAGAGAGAGAATAAAGAGAGCAATGAGAGAGAAGAAAGAGGACAATTAGAGAGTGAGAGAGAATAAAGAGGGCAATGAGAGAATGAGAGAGAATAAAGAGGGCAATGAGAGAGTGAGAGAGAATAAAGGGGGCAATGAGAGAATGAGAGAGAATAAAAAGGGCAATGAGAGAATGAAAACGCTTTCCGAGGGCAATGAGAGAATGACAGAGAATAAAGAGGGAAATGAGAGAATGAGAGAGAATAAAGAGGGCAATGAGAGAGTGAGAGAGAATAAAGAGGGCAATGAGAGAGTGAGAGAGAATAAAGAGGGCAATGAGAGAATGAGAGAGAATAAAGAGGGCAATGAGAGAGTGAGAGAGAATAAAGGGGGCAATGAGAGAGTGAGAGAGAATAAAGAGGGCAATGAAAGAATGAGAGAGAATAAAGAGGGCAAAGAGAGGAGAGAGAATAAAGGGGGAAATGAGAGAGGAGAGAGAATAAAGAGGGGGATGAAAGAATGAGAGAGAGAATAAAGAGGAGAATGAGAGAATGAGAGAGATCCGTAAAAGGGGCAATGAGAGAATGAGAGAGAATAAAGAGGGCAATGAGAGAGTGAGAGAGAATAAAGGGGGCAATGAGAGAGTGAGAGAGAATAAAGAGGGCAATGAGAGAATGAGAGAGAATAAAGAGGGCAATGAGAGAATGAAAGAGAATAAAGAGGGCAATGAGAGAATGACTGAGAATAAATTTATATGAGAGAATGAGAGAGAATAAAGAGGGAAATGAGAGAATGAGAGAATAAAGAGGCAATGAGAGAATGAAGAGAATAAAAGGGCAATGAGAGAATGAGAAGAATAAAGGGGGCAATGAGAGAATGAGAGAAATAAAGGGGGGAATGAGAGAATGAGAGAGAATAAAGAAATGAGAGAGTTTAGAGAATAAAGAGAGCAATGAGATAAAGAGAGAAATAAAGAGGGTAATGAGAGAAATAAAGAGGGCAATGAGACAGTGAGACAGAATAAATGGGGCAATGAGATTTGAAATTTGAATAAAGAGGGCAATGAGAGAATGAGAGAGAATAAAGGGGGCAATGAGAGAATGAGAGAGAATAAAGGGGGCAATGAGAGATTGAGAGAGAATAAAACAATGAGAGAATTAGAGAAATAAAGTGAGCAATGAGAGAGAGAGAGATAAAGAAGATAATAGATAATGAGAGATAATAAAGAGGGCAATGAGAGAATGAGAGAGAATACAGAGGGAATGAGAGAGGAGAGAGAATAAAGAGGGAATGAGAATGAAAGAGAATAAAGAAAGCAATGAGAGAGTGAGAGAGAATAAATGGGGCAATGAGAGAATGAGAGAATAAAGGGCAGAACAAGAATGAGAGAGAAATCTCTGTAATGAAAGTCTGAGAAGAGAATAAAGAGGGCAATGAGAGAGAGAGAGAATAAAGAGGGCAATGAGAGATGAAAGAAATAAAGAGAGCAATGAGAGAGAGAGAGAATTCTCTTTGAGGAGAGATGGGAGAAAGAGAGAACAAAAGAGAATTAAAGAGAATAAAGAGGGCAAAGAGAGAAAAAAACATTCTTGAGAGAATGAGAGAGAATAAAAAGGAATGAGAGAATGAGAGAGAATAAAGAGGGCAATGAGAGAATGAAAGAGAATAAAGAGGGCAAGAAAGAGAATGAAAGAGAAAATGGGGCAATGAGACAATGAGAGATTTTAAATAGGGCAATGAGGAGAGAGAGAAATAAAAAGGGCTTTTGAATGAGATAATAAGAAATATGAGAATAGAGAGAATAATTAGGGAAAGAGAATGAGAGAGAATATGAGGGCAATGAGAGAACATTTAGAGAATTTAGAGGGCAATTAGAGAAGTGAGAGAATAAAGAAAATGAGAGAGAAGGAGAGAAAGAAAAAAAGAGTGAGAGAATTAAAGAGGGCCAAGAGAGAAATGAATAAAGGGCTAAGAGAAATGAGAGAAATAAATAGGGAATGAGAGAGTGAGAGAAATAAATTTGGTAATGAGAGAATGAGAGAGAAATAAAGAGGGCAATGAGAGAATGAGAGAATAAAGATGGCAATGAGAGAATGAAAGAGAATAAAAAGAGGGCAATTAGAGAAGAATTTATAAATTAAATGAGACAATGAGAGAGAAATAAAAGAATTTGCAAAAAGAGAGTGAGTTTTTTCGAAAAATAGGGCAATTTCAGAATGAAGAAATAAAGGGGACAATGAGAATGAGAGAATAAACTAGGGGCAATGAGAAAGAATGAAAGAAATAAAGGGGGCAATGAGGGAATGAAAGAAATAAAGAAAAAAATGAGAGAATGAGAAAGAGAATAAAAGCGAGCAATGAGAGAATGAGAGAATAAAAAGAAAGAAAATGAGCATTTGAACAGAGTGAGAATGAGAGAGAGAAGAAAAAGAGACCAAAAGCGTGAATGAGAGAGAGGAAGAAAATTAGAGCAATAGAGAGAATGAGAGATAGAAGAAATATGATAGCAATAGAGAGAATGAGAGAAAAAAGAGGAGAAAAGAAAGCGAGAGAGAGAGAGAGGAAAAAGAAAGCAAGAGAGAAAAGGGAAAAGATAACCAGAGAGAGAGAGAGAGAGAGAGAGAGGAAAAAGATAGCAAAAGAGACAGGAAAAAGAAAGCAATAGAGAATGAGTGAGATAGATGCAACAGGAACCGAAGGGGATAGTAAAAACAAACATTACTTAGGTTTACAAAGAATAAGATGTGGAGACCCTTAAACAAGTCCTGAAAGGATACGTGGAAATCTTGGCTCTCTACATAATATAAAAATTGGTTGGGACATGAGACTAGAAGTGGAATGAAAAAACAACTAAAAAAGAAAACAATCGGTATTGATGACTAAATAAATAGGACATAGGCATTCACTATTCTCCACATCTTCCTTTCATTTAATATCAGGACTTAGGGACCAACCCTGGTTATCATTTGTAGTCACGCTGGTCAAAAATATAAATAACATAGAAATAAGAGCTTTTTCATGAAAAGATATCGGAGGCGAGTGACCAGCCTGGCTCAAGTTGATAGAAATGCAACTGTAGCTCAAACAACTGCACTTTATAAAGGGGTAACGCAAAAGAGAATATGTGAACGTTCACCAAACCAAATTGTTAGGTTAGTTCTGCAAGTAACCACACTAGTTGTCACACCTATTACACCAGTACAGAAAATTGAGGCTGGACGCAAGAATTCGATAAGGATAAAACGTGTACAATAGATTGAAAAGACATTACCTGCTCAGAAGAGCGTCAATTTTTCCAGTGATATTCGGATATTTAGGTCAGAATTCGATGTATTCAATATCAATGGTTCAAGTCGTAGGGTAATGATATGGTGAATAAGTTCTTGGATTACCGTTTGACTAATAGCATTAATGAAATATCGTTTAAAAGCCGCGGCTTCGTGATGCTGAAGACCTTCTCCAAAAGGGACACCCATCTTTTCGTACAACAGGAGAACTCATTTTATCAGAAAAATGGGCTCATTGTTACTGATCCCAGTCGCATAGAAAACATTTAAATTGTGGAACGGAAGAGTTCAACCGAGATCGACAAGCAGCGAACCAGTCTTGATCAATTAAAGAATACAATTAAAAAAGGATATACTTAAATTTCCTAAGAATATGTACAGAACAACATGGAATCCAAACCAAGGTTCTAAAAGTGAAAAGGGTACAGCTTAGTAATAAACGTGAATGCCTAATAAAATTATGCATAATAGAGTAAAATGTCTTAATTAAATCATTAAACTAAGTCTACGAAATTACCGATTACTCAGCACATGTTTTCTTTCTTGTACATATAGACTCTTCGCAGATGCGAATTGAGTCACTGTCGGTCACTGGGCGTGTTTCTAAAAATAAATACGCTAAAAAATCCACTTTCATAGTTAGAATCTTTATCTCCGACTGACACCAATTCAGTCGGGTTTCGATCCTAGCTAGAGGCAACCGGATGTCTAGCCACACTGATGAGCTGTGAAACAGCGAAACAGTCTGTCTGTGGATGACGTTATATATATATATATATATATATATATATATATATATATATATATATATCTAATTTAAAAAAACACACATTTATATATATATATATATATATATATATATATATATATATATATATATATATATATATTTTGATAGTAATAAAAACAACAGAGCCTGATAGAAAAGGCCAGTGTGGTCTGAAAAAAAATCCCTTATTCAACCTTACATATATACTCCCAAAAACTTGACATATAGTTTTTTTCCCTACTTTCGTCAAAGCAGATTACCCTTCATAACGTTAGGCACTTGAATTTCAGTTTCAAACAAAGAATTTCTCTGTCGCAATCGAAATGATATTTTTTTAAAACATTGGATCATCAATCTGTTCTTTCCTAGTACATCAATACACACACACAAACACACACACACACACACACACACACATTGGTATATATATATATATATATAGAGAGAGAGATAGATAGAGAGAGAGAGAGAGAGAAAATATAACCTTTCTAAAAGCAAATCTTTCATACATTCTTAAAACATTCAAATTTGCTTGGTTTCATATCCTAACGTAAACAAACCAATTTCTAAAGAATTGAGGTATTTATTTATTAAACAATATATATATTTATTTTCGCCTTCAAGTCTAAATTAATAAAAAATAAAAATCCATCACTTCTTTAGAAATCGCATTGTTTACCTTAGCATTCGAAACTATGAATTATTCGCGAGTCTGACAAACATTTCATTTATAACGTATTATTTAACTTCATTTTATCGTCGACACACTTCAAAAAAGCATCAAGATATAAAAACAAGCTGAATATATATATATATATATATATATATATATATATATATATATATATATATATATAAATATATTTATAAACACCTCGTTGCACAATGCAAACTACACCTAAGAAATTGCGCTCAATTCCGTAATAAATGGCAGAAAAAACTGAATTTACTGGTCTAAAAAATGCATTTTTTAATTTTATTTATCATAATGCAAAAACCATTACGAAAAAGGACGAACATTTGTACACACACACAGACATACACACACACACACACACACACACACACAGTGGCATATAGCGTGCGTTGGATAAATTGTCGTCTAAATTACGCAAAAAATTAGACAAAAAGAAAGTCAAATATAATATTGTAAATTTATTCAATGAAATCGCCATTGGCTTAAACCACGAACTACAGACGATTTCGAGTTCTCCTGCATTTTCTTCAGGACGGTCTTCTTGTTTAATTTGCTGAATGGTGCCATAATCTTCGCCTTCAGTTCATCTTTACATAGAGTTTTATTGATCTGTCGGGGTAATATGGTCGCATAAATTGTCTGACTCTCATGACTGGGTTTTGCTGCTTGATCTTCCAAGGGCAACACAACCTCCTCAAGGCATTTGATTGGATTGTTTTTAAGTGGAAAGAATTGATTGTAGGCAAAAAAAGTAAATAATTCAAGAAAAAATTTTCATCCAAACAGCTTCGTAATCACCATTAAACTCATCCAACTCTTTCCAAATCCACTACAGTGTCCTAAGATTGACACTCAACCACTCTGAAATTATCGTATTGGAGCGCCCGGCGCAAATGCCAAGCAGTACGGCATGTCGTTTCCAAATTACTGTCGCAGTGAATTACGTTATAGTGCTGATATTTTTTTTTATTACAGACGCTGTCAAACTGAATCTCTATACTGTGCAGTGATAATTGAGAAAACACCTTCAAAGGGTTATAATTTATTTTATGAATATTGTCATATTCATCTCATCAGAACGAAAGATAATAAGAAATGTAATCAATAGATCCAGACACGGGATAAAAAACAGAAAGGTAAGAAAATAGAGAGAGAAAAAGGAATAATAATAATAATCCGAGAGTTCTTTGCCATTTTGCCATGTTGGTACTTTCAGTGACCGGTATGAGAGAGTGTTAGAGCTGCACTACAAATTTGAATACACCTGCTCCGCATGAACACAAGGGCATAGTTACACACAGTTACAGTACACAATTTAGACATTTAGGGGTGTAGTTTCTTAGGGGTGTACTCACATTTGTTGCCAGGGATTTAGATTTTAATGGCTATATTTTGAGTTAATTTGAGGGAAAAATAAATTAACTGTTATATATGCTGCAGACAGGCTACTTTTCATTGTGTCAAAGTGTCATTTAATCAGTTTGTTGTCCCATGAAGAGATATATTTTAAATATTTGAAGAAATGTATCACTCACTTTTTGATACACTATATATATATATATATATATATATATATATATATATATATATATATATATATATAATGTGTGTGTGTGTGTATGCATAGCATATATATATACCATATATATATATATATAAATATATATATATATATTTGATCTAGACAATAAATATATATATATCTATATATATATGTAAATATGAATATATATATTATGTGTGTGTGTTTTGTATGTGCTACGTATGTTATATTTATAAATATATATATATATATATATATATATATATATATATATATAAATATATATATATATATAGATTCATATATTTATATATATATATATATATTATATATATATATATATTTATATATAAAAATATATATATATATATATATATATATATAAATAAAAACATATTAGACAAAATATTATTTTAAATGGTTTTTCTGTACAGTAACCAATAAAATTTTAGACAGAAATATATATATAAGTATATAAATATATATATATATATATATATATATATGTATTGTGTGTGTGTGTGTGTCATCTAAATTTTTAAATATAATCATGCATATATATTTATATATATATATATATATATATATATATATGACAATATATACATAACATATATATATATATATATATATATATATACATATATATAATTTCAAAATATAGTTTATGCATATATATATATATATATAATCACTTTTCGAAATTGTTTCATTTAATATTTGCAAATAGACAAAAAAAAATGTTATTCAATTTAAAATGAAAGATTCGTGTCTAGTTCCCCCGTGACGAATCGTTTCAAATTTATGATTCAGGAACTTTGATATTCCTGTTTGATCGATTGCTTAAAGTTGGCTTTCTTGCTATAGATTTCTTCTCTGAAGTCTTGTTTTTGATCTGAGTGACAATTGATTTCACAGCATATCATATCATTATCTTTTTTTTTTTTCTTTTCTCGATTGGATGTGATAATGCAAATGCGATTGAAATGTAGAAAACGAAACGGATATCTCAAAATCAGTTGCCGCCTTTCATTCCGGATTTATATATTTCACCTGGTTTTTCTTTTTCTCTGACACCGAAGGGAGGAAACTTGATGTCTGAAACCAAAGTAACGAGGAATGACAGAGAACTCTCCGTCGCTCGATTGAAATAACCGTTTAATTATACAATGATATATATATATATATATATATATATATATATATATATATATTCAGAGTTCAATTCCGTGTGTGTGTGTGTAGAATATACACACACGTAAACAGACACACATATATATATATATATATATATATATATATATATACACACATATATACATATTAAGAAAATATATATATATATATATATATAGTATATATATAGTACACATGATATATATACACATATAATATATATATATATAAATATATATATATTTAC